CTTAGGACTGTTACACTTGGTCTGCCAACTGGATTTTTTGAGACAATGACAGGATTGCTTTTGTGTACCTTCAGTTTCTCGGGCACTATGGGCTTAGGCATGTCACTCTAATCTCACTTTTGTAATGTGGCATGAACGACACTTGTTCTGTATTTCGCCAGGATTTTGTCAGCAAAAAAAATTATGGCAGAACAAAAAAATCAAACTTTTCTGCATACGATCCCAACAGCGTGAAGGGGAGGATCAAAATTAATAAACACAATAAACTTAAAAATGTATGCAGCAACGCAAAACACGTGCGTCGTTGCTCGGCTCGCGCATGCGCCCCCCATTCAATGAGAACATTAGAAACATTACATGAATTCAATAAAATAATATTGATATATTATTATAGATATGAACTACATAACACATAAAAAGTAACTTGATAAACAATATCTATTCTTTGTCATCACTTTCTTTGGTCCAAGGTCCAATCAGCCAATCTGAGAGAGGACTAGCAACTGGGATATCCCGTATCTCTTCTTCAGTCAAGTTTACTTCCTCTTCAGAATCGACTGTAACATCTTCATTTACCCATTCAACAACTCCCTCAGTTTTATTATTTTCTTCGATGACACACATGAGCTCTTGGCCACGTCGTGAAATGACTTTCTTCACTCTTCGACGCTGAGGTTTAGAGGAGATAAAATGCACTTTTTTGTGGGAGCTCACTGCCTTCTTCGATCCAAAGTATTTACCACAGATATCACATATTCTCCCCCCGAGCTGATCATTCAGCGATGGACAGAATAAATCATAGGGAACACATTTGTGGGTGCATGGAATAGTAATTTTCAGCGTTGTAACGTCCCGACGTTGAATTTCGTAGATGACACTATTAATCGGCCATAAAAATCCGCGCGATTCAAATTATGGCTCGGAAATGATTTTTAAAATGATATTTTTAAAACGTAGTATGCTGAGAAATAGGGCAAAGAAAGGACCATGAACAAAGGAAGAAAATAACTCCACAATCGGGAGAAAAACCGTTGCAGAAAATTGTAAATGTCAAATACTTGAGTTTAAATCCAAATTTATTGCCCTTCAAAACTCGTCACGGAAAAAGCTTTACCTTGAAAAATCCAAAATTTAGAGAGGAAAGTAAAATTAACGGTCACGGTCCCAAGTCGTAAAATCTCAGTTCTGTTTATTTTGAAAGTTCCTGTGTAGCATATGTTTGACACGTATGGGCTCTCCTTTGTTCATTGTATCGCTGAGAAGGCCTAAAACCCTCTGAGGGGAAAACTTGCGACGTCACACGCTCCCCTTTTCCCCGTTTTCCCTTGGGTTTCACTTTTCCCTTTCCCCTGGGCCATGTTTGCGTGCGCAACTTGTGGGCTAGTGGGGGTTGTTGGACCCAACCCTTAAAGGTAAGTTTTAGTTAGTCCCATCGTGGCTGTTCTACGATAAGCCTTCAGCTTCTCTCGTCAATTAGTTTTTCCGAGTAATATCTTTAGAGTTTTTTCCAAAAGTTGAAAAATTCATTTGTAGTGCAAAGTTTAAAGTTTGGATATAAAATATTTTAAATAAAAGTGTGATTGTGCTCTCCAAGCACTTGTCAATTCGATTTATTTCGAGCTACCCCTATAATTCCATTATCCTGATCATCCACGAGTCAACTTCAATGGAGTCCTCACCCGAGGTTTAACGGCTAACGGATCCAGGTTCAAAGATTGGCGCTAAATAATTAGAATGGCGCCACTGTTTTCCTAGTAACATTGAAAGGACATAACAGCGTCATTCTTAAGGATAATGGCATGAAATGATCTGATACTTGTAATTCTGTTGGAGGTGGCACTGTCAGGGTTGATGTACAACGAAGTGGAATAGGTTCGTGATTTAAAAAACAAAAAATTAATGAAAAAGACATGAAAAAATCATACGTAAGATCCTTGACGACCCCCCTCCCCCCCACGTAAGGGAAAGTAAGAAATCTTTAGACCCCCCCCCCCTAAACGTCTTACGTAATATATGGACGGCCCCTAAGGCTGTTGTAACGTTATTCATTCATTAATTAAAGGAACGGGTCATGTTTTGTCCCACTCCAGTCGACTCTCGCTAGTTGCTCATCGAAAGGGCTGTAGAGGTACTATTTCCAAGAAATGAACACTTCCGCCGACCCTCACTCCTCAACCAATGGCGACCCAAGTTAGAAAAATGACAGGGAATGAAGTTTTGTTTTCGAATAAAATTACTCATTCTCTCTGTGTTTACGTACGGAGGACAAAAGAAAGCGATAAGGCGGTCGAAAGTGGGGGGCAGCGCTCGAGTGCGCGAAAAAGGGATTAGGGGAAAACGAGTAACTAATGGGCGTGCAACTAGCGAGAGTCTACTGTACAAAGTAGAGTTTTTATATCAACGTATGAATCATTTTTGTTGTCTATTGAAATAAAGAAAAACGGATTGCCTTATAAGTACATGTTGCGATGATTGCCACTTTTATACGAATGTAGTAGATGATTTTACAAGCAGGGTTGCCATATTTTGGCGATTTATAGCCAAAACTTGTACAATTTTAAATGGGGTGACGTCACGATCTGGTAACACTGTTTACAAGTTGTCATGAAGAGAACTAATTCATGAGGGAAACCGTCAACTGCGCATATGAAAAATAACCCCCAAATTTTCAAACTTCCTTAATTCAGCAGTGAAGACATGAAACAAGGAATGTACGAAAAAATAGCCGAAGGAAAAAATAGCCGATGGGTAGTAACACGCGTTGGCTGTGGAAACCGACAAAATGACCGGTCATTTTCGGTCATTTTTTTCCGCCTATCGAAACAAGATGTATCACTCAGTCCTCAAAATTAGTTCTTGGATAGTATTCCGGAATACAAAGGAGCTAGAGGGGTTTCGTAATAATTTTTTTTGTCGAGGAGTTGGTCACTTTTTAATCGTGTCGCTCAGTGATTTCCAGAATGGGATGATTTCTGTGACTTCTCAGTAAAAATTAAAAATCATCATTTCTTTTGATTTCTCGTGATTTCCATGGACTCTGAAAATTTCGTGATTTCAGAAAATCACTGAAAAAATCATGATTTTGGGATCAAAGTGGAGCATCTGTCGATAATGGCAGTTTTCTACATGACGTTGTATACGTAGGAATGTCAAAACAGATCAAAAACCTCAGCGTTATATTTCATCATAAACCCTGAAGCCTCGCTACGCCTGAAAACCACCTGAATACACCACGAAGATTGTACTTCGCGATAGTACAATCCTTGTTTGTTCGGTTTTTTCGTGTCAGAAGATGAGAAAATGACTAAAAATCAATCGATGAAAAACTAATGGAATTTCCAATAGAAGTCTGATAAAAATTTACCAGAATTTCTCACCGAAATTTTCTTCATGTATGAAAAAATCCTATAGGATTTTCTGTAGGAAATCTTATGGAGAATTCGCATATTTCCTATAAGATTTTTCGGATAGGATTTCTTATAGGATAGCCTATCTGGTTTTTCCTATTGGATTCCCCACAGGATATCTTATAGGATTTCCTATAGGATATCCTAATAAGATTTGCGATAGGATTTCTTATGAAATGTAGTGTCATAAGGGGCAGAATGAGCGTCAAATGAGTCATATGCGGTCATATAAGGATCATATAGGGGTCATATAAGGGCCACATGGAGATCATGTGGGAGTCATATAAGGGTCATATGTGGGTTATATAAGAGTCATCTGAGAGTCACATGGGGACTTACGGGGGTCATACAAAGGTCAAAGGAGGCTCATATCGGGGTCATATGAAGATCAAATGACCCTCATATGATCTCCATATAATTCCTATATAACCCCCATGCAACCCCTATATGACCCCATATGACCCTGATATTATTTCCATATGACCCCTACATGACCCCCATATTACCCTTGAATGACTCTAATATGACCCTTTATGACCTATATATATGATCCGCATATGACACTTTTGACCCTCCCCAGAAAACAATTTATGCCAGTGCCATCTAAAATTTAATAGGACATCAGCAAATTGTCGACAAATTGTCGACATACTGTTTGCTGAGTCATTGTGACTCTTATGCCCCTAAATTTTATAGGAAATCTTGTTGAAAATCTTATATGAAATCCTATAGGATGTGTTCACTGTTCATACGTGATTTCTGCCTAAGAAAATATTTCTGAGAAGATCACAAAAATGTAATTCAATGAGACAGAATTCTTTCGACGAGGAATAAATAATTTTAAATTAATGAAAATATGAAAAATCGACGAGAAAGAAGAGAAAAGTCGAAGGAATTCACACCTGACGCGGCCGGGGTCTAACGGCTGTTAGGGCTCATGAAAAGAAAGTTTGATGACAAATAATGAATAAATAATGTCGGGCGCCAGCCAACTTTATTGAGAAATTGACAAACAACAAATGAAGTATGATTCAGTGAAATAATGATAAATTGGGGGGTTCGATTGGGAAGACCCAATAATGAAAAGAATTGAAAATTGACCTTGACCATGAAAATATATTCGACAGAAAATAATTAATTACTTACAGTTTCACAATTAAACTTTTGTTGATTTTGACGATAACAAGAGTAATAAATACCATTATCTCGACGATAATATTAATCATAATTTATTGAACGAATTTTGATACAATTATACAAAATACAGCGATCGCAGTAATGACAAGACTACACAATAGCAAGATATTATATCGAGTGATTTATTTCGGTTGTACGACTTGTTGCTTCGGGCCCGGTATTCCCTCCACAACTACTGAAATCAATATTTCGACGCCTGCGTGATTAGATGAATCAGCAGTGCTATTTCGGTGCATATTTCAAATTCAATTTTGATTTTTATTCATGTCAATTTGTTTACTTTCGACTAGTTAAATATTTGGGGAGCGTTGACGATCGGGTAAAATATTTTCCTGTCACACCAAAATCATAGGAATGGACAAAAGAAAATTAATTTATTTCTCTCTCTTCCTTCAGAATGGACAAACATGTATAACTGGTGGCAGAGACAGGCTTCTAATCTGCTGGAGCCTCCCTCAACCTGGGAACGAGCCATCGTACCAGTTGTCCTCTGGTCTGGGCCACGAAGGCTGGATATGGGACATAACATCAATGGACAATGTGATATACAGCTGCAGTTGGGACAAAACCGTTCGATCCTGGGACGTCACAGGAACTAATTTATCACCCATAAAATCACACGGGATGAATGTCCAGGGTGCTTTGTTATGCATGAATTCCTGTTCCGAGTTACATCTTCTCGCGACTGGATCATTCTGCAAAACAGTATCAATATTCGACCCGAGGTCGGAGGATTCAGTTGCTCGGTATCAACCACATCAAAGGGCAGTTATTCAAATATGCATGAATTCGAGATATGTCGTTTCTGCTAGTGAGGATAAAACTGTCTCTGTGTGGGATGTCAGGGCTGGATATACTATGAAAACATTTCAGGTAAGAATTATACTGTAAGAGATGCCTCCAAACCTGAAATAAATTTGTCCAGAGAATTTTTTTTTAACAAAGTGATATTTATGAAAAATATTATTGCAACAATTCTTGTGTCTTGTCTGAATTGTATTTTTGTTCATTCAATTTTTGTTTCCCATGAATGAAGAAAATTAATAGGAAAAACTAGTGATTTTAACCAATAGTAATTACATTATTATTATCATTATGCAACTTTGCTGTGCATTTTTCAGTGAAAAAAAAGAATTATTGAGCATGAATCGTTCTAGTTCTTTGCTTGGTGCTTTGGACCTTGTAGTAAAAAAATTAAAACAACAAAAAAAATTGGGAATTTTATGCCCACGTATTTTCTATCGAAAAAATCTTGAGAGAATAATTCATATAGAAGGATCGAAATTTATTGACTCTTCCAAGTATCAAAATTTTCTGTAAAAATATTTTTTTCAGGTCCAGAGCTTTCTACGATTTCCTAGAGCTTTCCATGATTCCCAGAAGGAACGAATACATCGAAATCGATATCTCAAATTGAATAAACTATAATTTAAAATTGATTTACAAATTTCAGATTTCTAAAGACTCATTTGTCATGGGAATGTTCATGCACAATGGACTCGTCTACATTGGTGATAGCAATTCCAATATTCACATTCTCGACGAGAAGAAAGATTTCAATGTTGTTAAATCGTACAAGACTGAGCACACTAAGGGGATCACTGGAATTCATGCATCGTCTGGATGTTTGATGACTGTATCGCTTGATAAGACTGTGAGAATCATGGGGCCAACGGATCCACCACAGAGTATTGCTACTTTTGAGTGCAAACACGGTGATGTAGCTAGCGTAAGTCTCTTTATTTCATGTTGAAATCTTGTTTTTTTCATTTCCATTAGTTTACTCATTAATTCATCTACTTTGCTTCCGATAGATGCATTATTTGAACGAAGTCCTCGCTGTATCTGCTGAAGACGCTATTGAAGTATGGAGACCCAAGACTGTTAATCAACACCACTTATGACAAAAAAGTTGATCACTAATATATTTTTAATTGTATTCTTATTTCAAATTGACTCAATTGTTTTAATTACTGAATTTTATAATTGATTGACTAAATGATAATACGCTTTGCTAACGAAGAAAATTATTGATAAAAGAATGTGTTTTTAACGAATAAAGCTAGACATATTTGTAATGTGAACCAATATGTTATTTTGTTTCAACCTCGATTCAACACTTTTTTTTCAATATATATTTGTTTTGTTTTAAATTAATACATGTTTATTTTTCTAATGAAAAAAAAAACATTTAAATTTTTCCATACAACTTATTTTGTTTGAATTACTTCTACAAGAGTTCTTGGATATGAATTTTCCAAGTTTATATTCTTGAAATTAGGTGGAGGAATTTATATTCAAAATATCTCAATAGAATAAATTATCTAAACATCAAATTCTATAGATTTTTTTCTATAAAATATTCTCATCAAAGATTTTTACTGGAAAAAACACGTAGAAAAGGAGCGAAACTTCAATGCAATCGGCAAGAAAATGATAAAATTTTCAGTGGAATTCCAATAGAATTTCTGCCACCAAGAGTCGAGCCTTTTGTATCAATCTAATTACTCATGATATTTTTGGCGGCTATTTTCATTGATGGGGCTTCTTAAACACTTCAAAATGAAATGTCAAATTTTTTTTAAATTTTCTAAGACTTTACTGCAGTGTAATTTAAAAAATTGGAAAAAGTGCGGTGCAGCGCAAAAACTCACAAAACTCAAAAGTTAACGTTGTGGGCGTAATAAATTTTGAAAAAAAAATGAAAATTTTTTTTAGACCTTTTGAATGATACAAAAGCCATATAAGAAGCCTCAACAAAATTAAATTGTTGAAAGTACAAAATCATACCAATACTTGACAAAAACACCCATTTACGGAAAACTATTTGAAAATGAATCGCTTTTTCTCAAAAACTGTTAAATCAATCGGGTTGAAATTTTGCACAGATTTAGTCCTCATTAAGATCTATAATCTAGCAAAATTTCAGATTTTTTTGAATTACTTTAGCCACTTAATGTCTCGATTTTCGAAAAACAGTCATGCTCACATACAGACCTGTCAAACTTCGTTTTTTTACGTTTCTACATAATTTCCAATCAAAATTAGAAGACGCAAAAACTAGACTACATTAATATAAAAGCAATTCACCACTTGTTTCATATATTGTATATGCAGGGAAGGTTCCGAGTTCAAATCCCGGCCGGGTAGAATGGTGCGATCTAACCATTTAAAGTCTTGATCATCATCGCAATATATCCTAACTAGGTCGAAGCGATGTAAAATAACGATAATATACATATATATATATATGCAGGTGACAAATCAAATCAATTCACATAGCCATTCAAGACCCGTTCAAATTTCCCTCAAAACCCAAGCTTTATCCCCTCGCCACCGTAGCGCCCCTATCCCTTTCAAAATCCTGCTCTCCAAAATCCCTCTCTTCGAAAACCCTCCCACACCCTATCCAACCCTTTTCCGCCAGCCGCCAAAAACTTCATCCAGCCCCGTCAAACCAACCCCCCCACAAAGAAGTCTCCTTCAGCCCGCGAAATAAAAAAAAATAGGGCCAATACCGGAGCGACCGGAAGTGCTCTCCATGCCCCCCAACAACGCGCGTCAACTGTCCTCCCATGGCACCTCAAAACCCTTGCAATTTCCCTCAAAACATCGTCTCACCCCATGCACCAGAGCCACAATTACCTCCCCAAAAAAATTCTTCCCATTTCTAACGATAATTGAATCCCAAAAATAACTAAGAAAAAATTTTTATCGCTACACAAATGCTCGCGTGGTCCGGTGGTGGTACTAGATGTGGGGAGTTTCCGGCGAGCACTGAGGTCAGAGAAGGCTGGCTCCGTTCGGTGGTGCTATTGAAAAACACGATGAAAATGGCGTGGCAACCGCAGGAGGAAGGACTTAGACAAATTCTCACCCTTCTACAGGAGTCACAGAGCCCAGACACAGCAACTCAACGTGCTGTACAACAAGTATCCTTTTTATTCAATAATCAGTGGGGAGTGTACGAGGATTTATCGAGGTTATTACGAGGTAAGTGTAGTGGTAATTTTGACTACAGGTCGATGAGCGGCCAAGGGCGTGCTTTTATTGACAAATTTTTTCGTCCCGGACGTGAGCATTTGCCGGGCCGTATTCAGTAAAAAAATCAGCATTTTCCCAGTAATGAACCCTAAAAGGCCTTCTGGGATGATTGGGAACTGGAAAATTCTGTTCATTTTTGCGAAAACAGTTTTTTCGAACTTATCACTCGTATGGTGGTCCGAAAAAATGAATAAATTTTAAATTATGAATTCGGTTTTTTTTATTTTTGTTCTGATGGGGTTCATTTTTTTAGGAGTAGGAGTTTTTTTTCTTTGGTTCTTACTCTAATTTTGAAAGGTGGAGAAGTGGAGGATCGGAGTTATTGATTGGTTTGTCCTGTAGTTAACTTTATGATCGATAGAAAATAACAAGATAGTGATGAAATAATTATTGGAAAGCCGATGGAGGTTGGTAAATAACAGGGATGTTCAGTGACGTGGGGTTTCGGGGGGTTGAGTCCTTGGGGAAAGTTTTGTTGGAGAGTCTTGGGTTTGGCGGCGGGAGGGGGTTTATAACCTCTTGTAATCGAATTTACGTGGTTGAAAATGGCATTCGATTGATAGTTTTCTTAACAAAGATTTGTCCAGAAATTGGAGGAGTTGAACAAGTTCCCGGATTTTAATAATTACCTCATCTTTGTGTTGACGAAACTCACGTCTGAAGGTAAAGTATCTTTTCTTGGATGTTTATGGGGGAAAATTAATTCCCAAATTTCTCCTCCTTCTGCACGCTATTTAGCGGTTCTCGGCTATTTTAACGTGCTCAATGAATTGACACAAAAAAATCAATTTATTATTGCCAACGTTTCGAGTGGTAAATCTCACTCCTCATCAGAGCAATCAATTTATTTCCATCCATTTTAACAAATCAAAGAACATCTATTTTTAAAAAACCTATTTTCTCTAACAATTTCCCTTTAAACAAAACACACGGGCCACCAGAACATCACAAAAGAACTCTATGCCTTAACCTACGTTATTAATAAATAAAAAACCAAATCATCCCCCCACCTACTGTTTAAAATAATTTTTAACTATGTCAATTCTAAAAAACTATCTGTCAAATTAAACGAATCATGACAACACGTTACAAATGATCACAAAAATCAGAACCGCAAAATGGCTTGGAGGAGGAAAAATTTTTAAATTAACGCAGGCGGTTGGAGAAATAATTCAGTTGAAAATGGATTTGTTGGATCAAAATTTTTGGCATTTTTGGAGTTGTCGAAAGGCTGATGATTGAGGAGATTTACGTAGGAGGTTGAAGAGATTTTTCCAGTCTAAAGTCATTAAAATGGCATAGTTTTTATTCTTTGATTATTTTGGATCCAATTTTTGAATCAAGGATGAACGAAATAACATATTGGTTCATGTTACAAATATCTCTAGCTTTATTCGGTGAAAACACATTCTTTTATCAATAGTTTTCTTCGTTAGCAAAACGTACTATCACTTAGTCAATCAATTATAAAATTAAGTAATTAAAACGATTGAGTCAATTTGAATTAAGAATACAATCAATAAAAATATATTAGTCATCAACTTTTTTGTCATAAGTGGTGTTGATTAACAATCTTAGGTCTCCATACTTCAATAGCATCTTCAGCAGATACAGCGAGTACTTCGTTCAAATAATGCATCTATCGGGAGCAATGTAGATGAATTAATGACTAAACTAATGGAAATGAAAATAAAAAACAAGATTTCAACATGAAATAAAGATAGTTACGTTAGCTACATCACCACGTTTGCACTCAAAAGTAGCAATACTCTGTGGTGGATCCGTTGGTCCCATGATTCTCACAGTCTTATCAAGCGATACAGTCATCAAACATCTAGACGATGCATGAATTCCAGTGATCCCCTTTAGGCCAGTCAAATAAGGACATTATTTTGGCTGAAATCAAGGATGATAGAAGAAGGATAAAAACCATAGCATATCATGCGGAAAAATGATATGAAACACATACTAAGTTTTTGAAATTCTAGCGGACCGGGAAATTGCTTTAAAAAATTCAAAACTGCAAAATTACGCGTCCGCGCGACCTTTTTTGCTTTACGCTGGCGAAACCGTAATAGATAGGATTAAAATCCATAGGATATAATTTGTAGAGCATCAAATTTTCTAAAAAAAAGTCAGTAGCGCCATATTCTTGATTTCAACCGTTAAGCCGCCAAGCGCGCTCAAATGTGAATCACGAAAGAGCTGATTTTCTGCCAACACCGAAAAGTTAATTTTAGTTACAAAATGCAAATGATGTATGAAAATGTTGATTAAAAAATTAAGAAAAAAATCAGGATGCATCTTGACCCTTCACAGAATGTCTCCATGAGAGGGATGTTTTTGAAAACCATTTTTATTTTTTTCAGCCATCTTCATTTTTCCCTTTTTTTTTTCATTTTTTCAACCAAAATTTGCCATAGTCTAACTTTCGATTCAGTCTTTTGACGGGACTGACAGAAATTGCTGCTTCTTTTTCGTTCTCTGCTCATTTTTTTTTACTCTCTTGACATTTTCACTCAATTTGTATATTTAACTATTCATTTGTTGATAAACTAAAAAAAAACCTATTTTTTCAATAGATCATCTAACTGGAGAAATGTTTGGTTACGCTGAATAGCTTTATACCAAACTTGAGTCAGTAAGATCATTCTTGAATTTAATTAAATTTTTCCTTACATTTGTTAACATAGATTTTCAATAAAAAAAAGGAAAAATTTTCGATCTCAAAAAATTCTTTGATTTTTAAAAGATTTTTTTTATGTCTTGGAATTTTTCCATATTTGCAATACAACCGGTGGCCTGGCGTAGTGGTTAAGGCCGTTGCCTCACAATGGATAGGTTCCAGGTTCGATTCCTGGCCGGGTAGAATGGTGAGATCTAACCATTTTTAAAGTCTTGATCAATCGCCATATAGTCTCATCAGACTCGAAGCGATATAAAATAAGCATTAAAAAAAAAAATATTTGCAATACTTAAGGAGTTATGAATTATTTTAGATTTAAGAAAAAGTACTCGTCGCCCGGCCCCCACTCCGCGCGCTTGACCTCCCCACTCCCCACGTCCTCCGTGTAGCGGAACGTTCCCAAAAGTTTCCATTATCAATATAAAAATGCACAAATTACAATAACCTTTTTTGTTAAGAATTAAATGGTGTACAAATTCAATGGAAACTTTTACTCCTAACTCCTATACTTATTGTCTAACAAGATCTATGCGCGCGCTGATCTATTCATTTGTTGAAATGAAGAAATGGAATTCATTAAATTTCATTTTCTCATGAATACCTTATAAATATTGATAATGAATCAAAGAGAATTCGACTAATGATTGAAGTGAATAGCGAAGTAGAGTAAAAGAATCTATTCTAAGAATTTTTCATTTTCAATTAATTATCTTCAATTTTTTTTAATAATCGGTCTCCATAAAAGGACAGAATTCATTATTTTCACTGATAACATAGTATATACATGTGAAATATATATATATTATATATATATTAATGATATATAATATATATTAATGATTTATTATATATATATATGATTATTTCATTTTCATTATTTATATATATATATATATATATGCACAGCGTACATATACGCCTCCATATACACTACATGTGGCTATCCTACTCGCCTTTTCTCTGAGAGGCCACTGCGTCAAATCGGAGGCGACTAGGTACCTCTGGGTTTAACCCAACTTTTTGAAATGGGCGATTCCACAATTCTGGAGTACAGGACGCCACGCACACCACACACATTTCGCGATGTTAAAACCCAGAGGTATTTAACCCGGAAGGAGTATGTTTTTCGAGCGGAGGACCGAAAAATTTTCAAAAATCGGAGGCGACTACGTCTGTTTGATGTAGCGGAGGCCAGTTGTAATTGCGTGCAAAATCTATATATATATATATATGACGTGAAAAAAAAAATTACCTCTGAAGAATTTGAAATTATGTCACTGAAGAATTTAAAAAAATGCCGCGTGTTTTTTTTGTGAATAACTTCGTGTCACATATTGACCAATCAGAATTAAGGATTAGCGGTCAGGCAGTTTCGAGATATTTCGATATGAAACAACTTCACGTTTCTTTCATTTTTAGTAAAATAGGACTCAGGAATGGGAGAATCGACATTAAAAAAACACATCAATAGCATTAGAAATGGCAAGAATTATTGATTACAAGGAAATTGAGCTGATATATACATAAAGAGATTTTTACGGCAATGGATTAGTTTCGCACCAATACTTTTTCAGCCACCAAATTTTAGATTGACGCCTCTTTGCACCCACAAGTTTTGACTCCCCGTCAAATTGAAATTAAATAGTACATTACATGCCCGAGCCTTGGAAAACAGATCACCGTCCCCCACGTGCAAGATTGCCTTCCGAGCCGAAGGCGAGGATCGCAAGCACGTGGGAGAGGGTTCGTAACGCAGCGCCACGAAAATGGGGTTTTTCAGGTCCCGTGACACGAAAAAGAAAAAACGATTTCATGAATATAATTTCCCATCCAATTTGCACCGTAAGTACAGAAGTTTAAAACAGAAATTCTCATTAAATTTATGCACCATTCAATTATTAACAAAAAAGGTTGTTGTGATTTTTGCATTTTTCTAATATGAATTGATAAAGAACTAATTGAATTTTTTGGGGACATTCCGCTACACGGAGGACGTGGGAAGTGGGGAGATCAAGCGTGCCGAGTGAGGGTCGCGCGACGACAACTTTTTCTTAAACTTAAAATAATTCGTAATTCCTTAAGTATTGGAAATATGGAAAAATTCCAAGACATAAAAAAAATCTTTTAAAAATCAAAGAATTTTTTTAGATCAAAAAAATGAAAAAAATCGAAATTTTTCTTTTTTTATTAAAGATTTATGTTGACAAAAGCAAGGAAAAATTTGATAAAATTCAGGAATGATTCTACTGACTCAAGTTTGGTATAAAGCTGCTCAGCGTAACCAAAAATTTCTCCAGTTAGATGATATGTTGAAAAAATGGTATAATTTTTTTTTTAGTTTATCAACAAATGAATAATTAAAAATGCAAATTGAGTGAAAATATCAACAGAGTGAAAATAAAGCAGAGAACGAAAAAAAATCCGCAATTTCTGCCATTCCCGTCAGAAAACTGAATCAAAAGTTAGACCATGGCAAATTTTGATTGAAAAATGAAAAAAAAGAGGAAAATGAAGATGGCTAAAAAATATAAAAACATTCCTCTCGTGGAGACATTCTGTGAAGGGTCAAGGTGCATCCTGATTTTTTTTCAGATTTTTTAATCAACATTTTCATACATCATATGCGTCGAAAATGTGAATTGCTATCACCAATGTAGACGAGTCCATTGTATATTCCTATCACAAATGAGTCTTTGGAAATCTGAAATTTGCAAATCAATTTTAACTCAGTTGAACGATTTAAAAATGTCGATTCTTTCCGATCCCTTATGCACCCTGAAACTCTCTCGAGGATGCTTCGTTTCCATTTTTTTTTAGAATCGTAATGACTGCCAAGAACTCTCAAATTCAAAATTCAGGAACTTTCTGATGTCACCGTGGACTCCCCTTGAAGCGCTCAATTCTGTTAAATTATTCACACTGTCGTTAAATTTTACAATGTTTGCTATTTCTCTTCGTGATTTACATTCATTGGTTT